TTTTCTACTGGTATACTGTGGCCAAACACGATGTTGATTCGTTGCTCTCTAGCCAACGACTAAACGATAGAGCGTAAGAATACGTGTGAGTTGATCTTCCACAATTGTGGTATGAAGCGCCGACCACTGATATACACATATGTATACCTAAACCTAAATATATATGTATGTGCGTTAGTACACCACAGGTTAGTTGGCCTATTTTTACTATTAATATCTTCACTTGCTCGTGATAGTGGCCAGCGAGCAAGTCGGGATACAGAAAATTGCAAAGTAAATTATTTATTTTATTTATTTATTTAAGTAGCTGGCTGTGCCTAAGACTGATGTCTTTTAAGTCCATCGTATATAATATTATCGGTTACAACTATGATAACTGGCATACATAAGTATAAAAATAAATTAGCTTAAAATTATTTTGTATAAAGATGAAGAAGAGAGAAAAATTTTATATATTGAACAATTTAAACACTTCCAGTTTAAAGCGCCTAGCATTTAGCACGGATTTAATTTCATTTGGTAGGGAGTACCATAGTTTGACAACACTGACAAAAAACATTCTATAAGAAGCAAGATAATTATGTTTTGGTACAATCAGATTAATTTTTCAAAAAGGTATTTCGGGTTTTTCAAATTGATGAGCTTATGCAAAAATATAAGGCTGCGGTAATTCAAGAAACCAGTCAGATTACAATTAAGTATCTTACAACTAAAATGTGATATGTGGTCGAACTTGCGCTTAGCAAATACGTATCTGGCACAGCTATTTAACGCCATTTGAAGTTTTCGCTCCGATGCACTATCCAGTTGTCCACAGATGAGCTCACCATATGAAATGAGTGGCACTATTAGAGTTCTCACCAAACGTAATTTTATGTCCTGAGGAACAAAGTCAGCTGTGTACCATAGTTTTCTCAGAACAAAATAAATCCTACTTATGGTGTGGTTTATATGATCCGAACACCCTAAATAGGAATTTATTTTGAAACCAAGACTAGTTACAACTGGTTCAAAAATGATCGGTGTGTCCTCTAGAGTTAGTGTTGGGAG